TGAAGTAATTAATTTTCTGGTGCTTTCACTTCCAGAAACAGTTGTAAGCACTGTGTAACTGCCTCTAGGGTGCTTGACCATTTTAACACAACGTGCTGCGATCATCCCCCGTGCGCGTAGTGAGGGTTCTCCACCCCGCACAACATGATCTACTCGGCCACCACTATGGTTGCCGCAAAAAAAAAAAAACAGGTAAAAAAAAAAAAACGGTAACCTGGTTGCCGAGTTCACTAAGTGAATTGGCTTGTTTTACAACGTCGTTGCCAAGCGACGAAAACCCANACGTGCTGCGATCATCCCCCGTGCGCGTAGTGAGGGTTCTCCACCCCGCACAACATGATCTACTCGGCCACCACTATGGTTGCCGCAAAAAAAAAAAAACAGGTAAAAAAAAAAAAACGGTAACCTGGTTGCCGAGTTCACTAAGTGAATTGGCTTGTTTTACAACGTCGTTGCCAAGCGACGAAAACCCAACCAACCCCGATGGCAAACACCGAGGGGGGGTTGAGGGGGGGGGAGGGGGTGATGCCCCTGTATATGCAAAAAACTACCACACTGCTGCCGCCGCACTTACAGGGTTTGTGGTACTGAGCGGGGGTGATAGTACTGACAACACTGCCTATCGTGAAGTTCTTGCCCAATTCGTGTAGAAAAGAGGGGTGGAGGGCGAGGGGAAGGGCCGTTCTCTCGTGTTTTGCATGCCGAAGCGCCTAGACCATTGACCACGGGTCCTGGAGAGGACAGAGCAATGTTCCTAAGGACCGATCACCGATGGCCAATCGTTCCTTTCTACTTTGCCAAAGGTGGCTCAACATTTTTTTCGTAGCCAATCTATATTATCTATGTCACTTCCCGCCCTTCCAACCCACTTCACATATCCCAGTGCAGCTACCGTGTTCTGGCTATTCTATGCCTCCAACATGTCCCTGTACCGTCTACTTTCCCAGCTTAGTCACGCACAATTCTCTTTTTTAATCGTACAACGGACATTCCGCAACTACATAAACCCGGCCATCGCACTCGGGGCCGCATTCACATTTGAACTTGTCGTCATCGTCCACCTTCCTAAGTCGTCTACGTTCTCGAAGGCCAGTGTCCCTAGTCCTGTTATTGACCTTCAGCTTTGCCCTGCATCCATTAACCCACGCAGGTGTATCCCTTTTTAGACCGTATCCTTCCCTAGACCCTCCTTATCCTTTGTTCGTTGGCTAGACTACGTTCTCTCTCGGCAAAAGTAACAGATATCTTCTACATGAACCCCTCG